TCTGTTTCCCGGGAAACCCCACCCACAACACTAGCGATACATTTATTCAAATGAAAAGATGTTCAAAATATATTGCTACATAACAACAGGTTATAAGGCAATATGCATGATGTCATCCTGTTTTTGTCTTATACAGTCTTTTCTCTATTTGCACAGAAAAGACATCTGGGAAACATTTTAGGAGATAATCTAAGAATGTCTTTTTGACTTGTGACATGGGATTTCGTTTCTGGTTTGGATTTTTGTTTTCTTGAGACAGGGTCTCATGCAGCTCAAGCCAACCTTAAACTCCCCACGAGCAGCAAGTGACCTTGAACCCCTATCTCCACCTGAAAGTTCTAGGATTACAAACCTGCTTCACTAGGCCTGGCAGTTAGGGGATAATTTCTTAAATAAGACTTAAAAAGTGGCAGCCATACAGAGAGGCTTATACATTTATACATTTAGGTTTAAAAATGATGTTAACCACAGGATGCTTTAAAATCAAAACCTTCAGCTGGATGTGGTGGTGTGACCTCAGGAAGCGGGGGCGGGGGGGGGGGGGGGGGGGGGGGGGGGGAGATTCAAGCCAGCTAGAGCTACACAGTGAGCCACTGTATCAGAAAACAAAAACAAACAAACAAACAAAGCAAAACCTAAGCCACCCTCTGAAAGCAATCTTTTGTCTTTACTTGTGAAACCAGCCTTTAAGGCCCAGTGTTTTGTATCTTCAACAGAACTGACAAAAGATTGAGTCTACAGTATTTAAAGAATAAATTAGCAAAAGAGAAAAAAAAACTAAGGTCAGAAGAAAAGGCATAGAATTTTTACAATAAAAAAGTATTTTACAAAAGAAAATAACCATATTGCTAATAAAATATTTTAAGACTCTCAACTTCACCAGAAAAATTCAAAACATTTTTCAAACATCAGATGAATAAAATATTGATAACACCCAGAGTTACGGAGACTGTAGAGAATCAGGTAACATTTTAAAGTTTTTAAAAAGTAGATAATTTGACCCAGTTTGTTTGGAGAGTAATTTTAAATTATTATTATTATTATTATTATTATTATTATTATTATTATTATTATTTTCTTTTTTGAGATGGGGGTTTCTCAACTCACTTTGTAGATCAGGCTGGCCTCAAACTCACAGAGATGGGCCTGTCTCTGCCTCTGCCTCCCAAGTGCTGGGATTAAGGTGTGCAATATCACTGCCCGGCATAACATTTTATTTATTTGGGGTGTGTGTATGTGTAAAACATGTGCAATGTATAAGTATGCCATGAATGTGTATAGAAGTCAGAAGACAACTTGTCTTTCCTTTCTACCATGTGGGCCCCAGGATCCAGCTTGGCAGCTGTCCCCTTTACCCATTGAGCCATCTCCCTGGCTGAGAATAATTGTTAATGGCAAAAACATTTAAACAACTGAATTTCTATTGGAGAATGAAGGAACTGTAGCATGTCCTATGGGGCAGTATGTATCAGTTAACAAAAAAAATGTTCATGTGCTCTCATGAATGGATTGGCAAAATTGACAAAGATGTCAAGAGAATAAAACAAGTTATTCAGCATGTGCATAGTATAATCCCATTTATCCTTCCCTTCTTTCAGAGGTTCTGGGGATTGAACCTAGGGCCTCATCTAAGCAGGGAAGCAGTCTACTACTTCCATTTATACTTTCAAGTGATCACCACATACTTCAATATATACATAGAGGCAAATCCAAGAGAAAATTTTGTTGAATGATAATCTACCAAACTATTGATAGCAATGGTTTCTGAAAGGGATGTTAAGGGGATCTTGTGGTGAGAGGTGGTCATTTAAGGGACCTTCTGAGTTTGTTTCATCTCTCAGTTCAATCCCCCATTGTACCACTACTCCACAAATATGCCTGTATTCTTTTTCAAAAGAAGTTTTTGCACATTCTAGGTCCTTTACATTTCCATATAAACTTTAGAACTAGATTTTTTAGTATTTATCAAAACAACTGTTGATACCTGGATATGCATTACCTTGACTCTAGAGATCAATTTAGGGGGAACTGGCATATTAACATTGTTGGGGCTTTCAATTTGTAGGTATAGACTATCTTGTTATCTACTTCATTTTCCTTTGGTGTTTCTCGAAAGTGTTTTATCTAAGCTGGAGAGATGGCTCAGTAGTTAAGAGCACCAACTGCTCTTCCATAGGACCTGGATTCAATTCCCACCACCCACATGGCAGCTCATAACTATAATTCCAAGAAGACCTGACACCCTCACATAGACACACATGCAGGCAAAATACCAATGCATATAATAAAATGCATAAAATAAAATAAATAAATAAACAATTTTTTAAAAGCCAGGCATTGGTGGCACACACGCCTTTAATTCCAGCACTCAGGAGGCAGAGGCAGGCGGATCTCTGTGAGTTCAAGACCAGCCTGGTCTACAAGAGCTAGTTCCAGGATAGCCTTCAAAGCTACACAGAGAAACCCTGTCTCAAAAAAACAAAACAAAAAAAGTTTTAAAAGGCAAGAATATTAAAACAAGCCAGGTGATGGTGGTGCATGCCTTTAATCCCAGCACTCAAGGAGGCAGAAGCGGGTGAATCTCTGTGAGTTTGAGGCCAGCCTGGTCTACAGAGTAAGTTCCAGGACAGACTCCAAAACTACACAGAGAAATCCTGTCTTGAAGAACAAACAAACAAAAAAGTCACATAGAGATTTACACATGTTAAATTTATTTAAGCATTTTATGTTGTTGTTGTTTTTTGTTTTGTTTTGTTTTGTTTTTTGTTTTTCCGAGACAGGGTTTCTCTATGGCTTTGGAAGCTGTCCTGGAACAAGTTCTTGTAGACCAGGCTGGTCGAGAACTCACAGACATCTGCCTTTTATGGTTTTGATGGTATTATACATGAAGTGTCATTTTAAAATTTTTATTTTTCAGTTGTGTTTTTGGTAGCCTGTCAAAGTAAAACTGAACTTTGAAAACATGAACTTTGTATTCTGTGACTTTAAAATTTTAGTCAGCAGTTGTTGGATATATCTGTAAAGGTTTTCTAAAGAAACAGTCATGTCATATGCAAATAGAAACTTCCTTTCTGATCTGCATGCTTTTATTCCCTTGTACTCTTCCTCAAAGTAAAACATCTAGTACTATGTTGAAAAGAAATGGGAAGAATGGACATTGTTGCCAGACTCCTAAATTAAGGAGAAAATGTCCAATATTTCACTATTAACTTAATGCTAGCTATAAGGGTTTTGTTTCTTTCTTTGTGTGTGTGTGTGTGTGTGTGTGTGTGTGTGTGTGTGTTTGTAGGTGTCTTGAGAAAGACAAAATTAGTGTACTTGAAGATATAAACTTTCAAAATTGAAACACAAAAATAGATGAGAATTAGGGCTGAGCATATAGCTCAGCTGGCAGAGTATTTATCTAGCAAGCACAAGGCCCTTGGCTACATCTGAAGCACCACATAAGCCCTGTGATACATGCCTGTAATCTCAGTACTCAGCAGTAGAGGGAAGAAGATCAGAAGTTCAAAGTTATCCACAGCTACCTAGCAACTTCAAGGCCTGAGACTCTGGTCTCAAAAGAAAGGAAAAGAAAAAGCGGGTCTGAAGAAATGGCTCTGTTGTTAAGAGCACTGGCTGCTCTTCTAGAGGACTGTGGTTCAATTCCCAGCACCCTCATGGCTGCTAACACCATTCTGTAACTCCAGTTCCAAGGGATCTGACACTGTCTTCAGCCGATACCAGCACATGTACAGACATTCATGTAGGCAAAACACCTATATACATAAAATAAAAATAATAGTCTTTTGAAAAGAAGAGAAAAAAAGAAAAGGAGCATTAAAAATTAAGAGCAGGCTAGACAGTGGTGGTGGTGGTGATGACAGTGGTGGCACACACCTTTAATCCCAGCACTTGAGAGGCAGAGGCAGACGGATCTCTGTGAGTTCAAGGCCAGCCTGGTCTATATAACAAGTTTCACAAAAACCAGGAAGGAAACCTATCTCAAAAAACAAAACAAATAAACAAAAATGAAGAGTGGGGCATGGAGAGATGGCTCAGCGTTTAAGAGCACTGGCTGCTCTTGAAAAGGTCTTGGGTTTGTTTCCCAGCTCCAGTTTCAGGGACTCCAATGGCCTCCTCAGGTACTAGGCACTCTTGTAGTATATATACATATATGTAGGCAAACACTCATATACATGAAACAAAAATAAATGAATCTTTTAAAAATTTCTGAGCATCAATGAGATGTCAACTTCAAGTGGTTGAATTGCTATAACTTAGGGTTTTAATGATATTAGACCTGAAATGTTATTTAAATATTTTACTTTGTAATTGTTTTCTGGTAGTGTATCAAAGTAAAACTGAGTTTCCCTCATGAAAGGGAAGGAGAACAGAAAAAAATTGACAAAATCATGCCAAAGCAATTAAATATGATGCAAATTATAAATATATCATAGGAACTCAACAAGTTCCAAACACAAGAATCATAAAGAAAATTAGAATTTTATATATGGGAAAATGTTTCATAATGTCAGGCAAGATGAACACATTCTTCCACATCTGAAATTGCTGGAAGAATTCATCACCAGAGTATTTACAGTTCAAGAAGTGTTCATGTTTCCTTCAGGCAGAAGGAAATTTATACCAGATGGAAGTCTGGATCTATAGAAATGAATGAAGCCGGAAATGTTTAACAAAAATGTTAAATATAAGATCATTTATTTATTTTTGCAATGCTGAGGATGAAACCCATGGCTTTGTGTATGCTAGTCAAGTGTTTTACCACTGAGCCACAGCTGAGCCCCATAAGAATTTTCAAAATATCTTTTATTTGTGTAACTATCTTAAAAAGATAGTTGGATATCTAAACAAAAGTCATTATGATGTATTTCAGGGTCCAAAACACATAAAATGGGCTGGAGAAATGGCTTAGCATTTAAGAGCGCTTGCTGCTCTTGCAGAGGACCTGAGTCTAGTTCTCAGAACTATATCAGGTGGCTCACAAACACATGTAACTCCAGTTCCAGGGGATCCAACACCTTCTTCTGGACTCAGTGGGCACTTGCAACTCAGGCACACACACCTAAAATAAAAATAAATTAATCTTTATTGAAAAGTAACTTCCTTTCCTTTTGTTGTGTGTGTGTGTGTGTGTGTGTGTGTGTGTGTGTGTGTGTGTGTGTGTGTGTGTGTGTGTGTGTGTGTGTATTCATGTGCATGAGCTGCTGGACATTGAACCCAGGTTTCAGACATGCTAAGCAAGTGTTATTTTAGTGAGCTTTGTTCCAAGTCTCATCTTTTCCTTTTGCAAAACTGAAACTTTACATCTATTAAACAACAACTCTCCTCCATTCTTCCCTCCCTACACTCCCCTCGTCTCTAAGAATTTGACGACACTAGTTAACTCGCTTGAGTGTGATCATAACATTTGTCATTTTGTCACTGGCTTATTTCATTTGGCATAATGCCCTCAAGGTTCATCTATGCTATAGCATGTGTCAGAACTCCCTTAAAAAACAAAACAAAACAGAAATAGTGTTGTTGGGGCTGGAGAGATGGCTGAGTAGTTAAGAGCAGTGGCTGCTCTTCCAGAGGACCCGAGTTCTATTCCCAGCACCCACATGGCAGCTCACAACTGTCTGTAACTCCAGTTTCAGGGGATCTGGTACCCTCACACCAATGCGCATAAAATAAAGTTAAATACAGTATCTTAAAAAAAGAAAAAGTGTTGTATGGTCACAGCACATTTTCTTTAGATATTTATGGATTTATAAGCACTTAGATTGCATCTACCTTTGGGCTACTGTAATGCTTGGTATCATTACAATCATTAGGGAAATGTAAAAAGCACAAGATACCACTGTGACTTATAATGGCAAAAATGCAAAGGACTATGTGGGGTGTGGCAAAGAAAGATACAGAAACAATGTGAACTCTCCTACATTGTTGGTACAAGTGTCAAATTAAATAATCATGCTGTAAAGTATTTAGCAGTTGGTAAAGTGCTTGCTATGTAAGCATGAGGACCCAAGTTTGTTCCCAAGGACCCAAGTAAAAAACCTGCCCGTAAGTGGTATATGCTTTTAATGTCAGCACTCAGGAGGCATAGTCCTGGTCTACACACCAAGTTCCAGGACATCCAGTGCTACAGAGTGAGACCTCATCAAAAAACAAAGCAAAATAACAAACCTGAGCATGGTGTTAAATTCCTGTAATACCATTGCTGGGGAGGCAGAGATGGGAGGATCTCTGTGGCTTGATGGCTACCCAGTCTAATCGAATCTGTGAGCTCCAGGTTCAGTGACACATCATGTCTTACAATGTAAGGTGGAGACCGATTGAGAAACACTCGATGTTAACCTCTGACCTATACACACAGGAAAAAAAGAAAAATGTTAAACATGTGCCTATGTTGTGATTCAGCCATTTTATTCCTATGCAAAGAAAGCATAAACTACACATAAATTCACATTTTTTTTTTTTTTTGGTTTTTCGAGACAGGGTTTCTCTGTGTAGCTTTGGAGCCTATCCTAGCACTTGCTCTGGAGACCAGGCTGGTTTCGAACTCACAGAGATCCACCTGCCTCTACCTCCCGAGTCCTAGGATTAAAGGCGTGCGCCAACAACACCCGGCTAAATTCACATTGTATGTGAATGTTTAGAGCCAATTTATTTAAAACAACACCAAATTGGGAACAACTGGAATATCCATCAGCAAATAAAAGGATAACCAAATTGTCATACAGCCACACACGGAGAAAAACTATCAATAGATATAATAATATGGATGACTTCCAAGTGAGTTATCACATGTGAAAGAAGTCAGTCAATAATTGGTACAGTTATACAAAACTCTAAACAATACATAATTAGTTTTTGTGAGAGGAAGTAGACCAGTGAGATAGGTGTGGTAGGGCAAACCTGTAATCACAACACCCTGGAGGCTGAAGCCTGACGATGGTGAGTTGGAGGCCAGCTTGGGCTACATAGCAAGAGCCTGAGCCCTGGTTGCCTGAGGTGAAGGTTACGTAGGGAAGACTGAAGAGGAGTTTCATAGAAGCACTAGGAAATTTTGAGGGTGATAGATTTGTTCAGTTTTGATTGTGGCAATCCTGTAGTGGTATGTGTGTGTTGTATGTAATCATGTTGTATTTTTTTCAGTAATCATATATTTTAAATATGTGCACATCCTTATCCTAATCACACCTTAGCAAAAACACGCAAACTCCCAGAGCCGTCTTTATTGTCCTTTCTCTGAAGCCATGGTTCTTTCCTTACATCATCTTGAAAGAAGGGAAACAGAAAATTGTTGGCAGGGATGTATCTTTTCAAGTTTTAAAAAACAAAACAAAAATAAGTAACTGATTTTCTAAGATGCCTTCCTATTCACTTATGGCTTTCCATACAGTAGAAAAGGCCTAGCAAGCCTGTACACATCCTTTCTGTTATGATGACGTATGAAAAAAAGCAGCGTTAGGGCCCTGTGCTTCTGGGAAAATGGAGTGACTGTACCGTCCCCAGAACCGAGAACACCCAGAATGCTTAGTTTTAGATATAATATAAAATAAGGTGGCAAAGAGGGCTACTAGACCTGGCTGTGGGTTTCCAGACTGGCTAGTACCCCGGAAGAGGCAGGCACAGCCAGAAAAATTAAAAACAGTACAAAGCCAAAGAAATCCCACCCCCCAAAACAACAACAACAAAACAAGTCTGCTCTTTCTATCTGGACAGAAAACTGCACGATGATGGCTCTATATCAACCAAACACTACAGGGGGAGAAAAAAACCCAAAGCCTGTGTGGGGCCACCCCTTAGCAGGAAAGGCCCAAACACCCCTTGCCTCAGGGAGGTCTGGGGAAGGCTGGATTCACAAGGCTGTGGCCCAAGGGGAGGCTAAGGAGCCTCCCATTCCTGGCTTCCACTGAAACAGCCCGGACTTTCCCCTCGGCCGAGAACTAGCGAGGCGTCCCGCCCCCTTCGCTGACGTCACCCAGCCCAGAGGCTGAACTTTCACCCGGCTCGCAGCGCTGACGCGATCCCGGCTCGCACCACATAACTGGAGGCAGAGCCGAGGCGCCTCAGAGCACCACTACTGGTGGTTGGCGGCCGAGGCCTAGTGTGGAGCCAGCATCCCATCCCGGCTCGCCCCGCCCCGGCCCGCCCCGCAGTCACACGTACTCCAGGAGCGCAGGCGCAGGTGCAGGCGCACGCGTGCGCACACGTCAGCAAACGCTGATTGCAGAATCTGGAACTTAACCCTCCCCTGCCCTTAGTCCGGTAGTTTGAGCAGCATCTGGGGGAACTTGCTAAAGCATAATATTTGACTAATAATAACGTCAATTAAAAACTTACTCTCAGAGCTAGTTCCAGGACAGCCTCCAAAGCCACAGAGAAACCCTGTCTTCACCCCCCCAAAAAAAATTGCTCTCCAAACTAAGAATCGAGGAGTTCTCCTCTTGACAATTCATTAAGATGACAGAATTGTTAGAATTCACTGACCAGGATTTAAAAACAGCTGTCATTAAAAAAAATGCATTGGCAAACAATAAGCATGCTTGTTTGAAACAAATGGGGAGGAAAATCTCAAGGAAACTCAAATGCAATTTTTTGAACTGAAAATTACAATAGCATTCAGGTAAAAATAACTAGACTTAATAGCTGAATCTAAAGGGCTGGGAGAGAATTGGAGGTTAGAATATAATTTACTCTGTTTAAGCAAGGAGAGAAAATAGACTGGGAAAAAAAGAACAGACCTCCAGGAACATGGAATACAATATTTTTAAAATCAATTTTTTGATCATGAGAGTTTCAGGAGAGAAAGAAAATGGAACCAAAATAGTAGTAAAAGAATTAAAGCCTAAAATTTTCTGAAATTTGGCCAAAAGGCTTACATGTACAGATTCAAGAACCTGAGGGCAGTGGTGGTGCATGTCTTTACACACTTGGGAGGCAGAGGCAAGTGGATCTCTGAGTTTGAGGCCAGCCTGGTCTTCAAAGTAAGTCCCAGGACAGGCAAAGCTGTTGCACAGAGAAACCCTGTCCTGAAAAACAAAGAGAACCTGAGGGAATTTTTTTTGAGGCAGGGTTTCTCTCTGTAGCCTTGGCTGGAACTTGCTCTGTATAGATCAGGCAGGCCTTGAACTCACAGAGTTTGGACAGCCTCTGTGTGGACCACTGCCTGGCACACCTGAGAAAAATTAAATTAGCCAGGATAAACAACAACAAAAATCCATGGTTTAGCAGAGCCACGCTTCTAAAACTTAAGACAAAATAGTCTAACCCAGAGGAAAACATGGTATCTATAGAGGAAAAATATCAGGAAGCAAAGACAGTAGAAGACTGCCGTGTTCTTTAAGTGCTGAAAAGAAATTTAGTCAGGCATGGTCAGTCTCATGGCAGTCTGAGGCAGGAAGCTCTCAAGTAAGAAACCAACATGGGCTACATAGTGAGACCCTGCATAAAAACAAGAACAAAAACAGTATTTTATGTAGAATTATATAGTTTGCAAACATATTCTTCAGGAATGAAAGGGAAATCAAGATATATTCTCTTATGACAAAAACAAAAACCAAAATAATGAAGAGAATTTGCTGACATACAGATCCTAATAAATGTCTGAAGAAATCTTTTTTGACAAAAAACAAACAAACAAACAAACAAACAAAAAACCCAGGTAGGGCTCAGTGGTAGAACTTGGCCTCACATGCACAAGACCCTGGGTTTGATTTCCCAGAATAGCAAATACTAACCATGATAATCTCTTTTTTGTTGTTGTTTGTTTGTTTGTTGAGACAGGGTTTTTCTATAGCTTTGGAGGCTGTCCTGGGACTTACTCTGTAGACCAGGGCTGGTCTTGAACTCACAGAGATCTGCCTGTCTCTGCCTCCCAAGTTCTGGAATCAAAGGCGTGTGCCACTACCACACGTCTCATGATAATCTTAATAAACATAAATGACAACAGAAGTCTTAGTTTATCAGGAAGGAAGAATGACAGAATAAAAGGGAATAAAAGGGAATACAGTAGACATTTTTTCTTCTCTTCTTGGCCTTTCAAAATCATGCTTGACAGTTAAAGTAATAATTATAGCACTGGCTTTTGTAGTTCTTACATGTAGAGAAAATCTTTAACACAATTATAAATGGAGGAAGGTTGAGTTCTAAAAAGAATTAAGATTTCTATACTTGATTCAAACTGTTAAAATTGGCATTTCTGTAGATTAACTTGTGTATATATAATGCAATACTTAGACATTAAAAGCACCATACAACAATATACCCAGGGCACATTGACATGAACTTGTAGTTCCAGCCGTTCATGAAGCTGCATCAGGAGAATGATGTGAACTTGGGAGTGTAGGAGACTCGCCCATTTCTTGAGAGAAAGAGATAGAGCAAGAATGAGAACAAGAGAAACATGCCAGGCATTGTGGTATATGTCTGTAACCCCCCACTCAGGAAGTAGAGCCAGGAATAAGATACTCAAGGTCATCCTGGGATACATCATGAATTCAATGCCAACCTGGGCTACACAAAACCCTATCTGAAACAAAGGGACAAAAAAAATATATCCAAAGAACACTATAGCTAAATCAACATGGAATTGCAAATTTTCTTTAAGTAACACATGAGGAAGGCAGGTGAAGGAGCAAACCAGAGGGTGATGGAGGTGAGGGAGAGGGTCAAGGGTAACCCTTTTGTCCACTAGAGCACAGTCTATCTTGTCTTTGGTATACATCAGAAATGTGGAAAGAAAGAACCTGCCAGCCTCTTCCACAGAGCTGTGTATTGGCCAATTGGTTCCCAGCAGGGCTGTTTACACTAGTACTCAAGGAAGGGCTCTTCTCCAATCCTCCATCACACCATAAGGGGCTCCTTGCCAAGGCGTGGGCTCATCTAACTTCAGCACCGTAAGGGATCCCTGCCGGGGCAGCATGGCACTGCTGTTTTTTGATTACAAAAGCCCAAAGTACCACTATGTGTGTGTGTGACTACAGTGCTGGTAAAATGGAATGAAAATGGCTCTGAAAAGAGCCTGATACAACTTTGGCAAGGGTTAGAGGCAAATTCAATACATTTGGAGCTCTGCCCTGATCCAAATCAGGCAATCTTGGCAAACTCTAGCTTCTAGATATAAAGACCCATTTTAGCAGGCATCTTCACTCTTGGAGCCACTCAGAAGAAAATGTGAACTGAACCCTGGAGGAAATCAACCTGTTCATGCTATTGAAGACAGGGTATCTGATAGTTCCTACTAAGAGGTGAGCTCCAAATCTAGTAGTAGACCACCTTCTATGACCTATTGAGCCTATGTTTCTGGCTTCTCCAATCCTTGATCTCCCAGAAGAACAGCTCTAAAGAATTTTCATAAAGTTATTTCTAATTTTTATACTTTTGAAAAAGGGAAAATTAAGATGGAACTTGCTGCTGAGCCTGAAAACCTGAGTTGGATCCCCAAAACCCACGTGGTGGAAGGAAATAACTGATTCTCACAAGTTGTCCTCTATCTTCCTCATTCATGCCAAAATAAACAAATCCAAAACAGTCTTTAAAAAACAAGAAAAAGAAAAGGTGGCCAGACAGACTATTAATACAAGACAAGCATTCATTATTCCAAATGCGATTTTTATCAGGTGGACATAAAAGCACCTCAAAACTTCTGATAGTGTTACTGTTATCTGCAAATATTGAGATCTCTTTCAGTAAAAGAAAAAAGAATCCAACTGGGTGCGGTGGCTCACACCTGTAAACCTAGCGCTCAGTAGGCAGAAGGATTACTACAAATTAGAGACCAGCCTAATCTATATAGAAAGTTTCAGACCAGCAATGGTTATATAAAAAGGGAGAGACTGTCTCAAAACAAAAGTAAATCAATTCAAAAGAATAATATAGCTAATCTCTCTCTATAGACACAATATAGAAATGACCAAATAGAGCAGATTCATGGAAAATTGTTATTTTCCCAATACAAAGTTTTCCAGTCCATCTTTCTTAACATTTGTTTTGGGAATATTAACATTTTATAACTTTTCCTGTAGAGGTTTTACACCCTTATAGTAGACTTCATTTTAAGTATTTAGTGTTTTTGTTGTTGTCATTGAAAATGGTTTCTCTCACCGGGCGTTGGTGGTGCATGCCTTTAATCCCAGCACTCGGGAGGTAGAGGCAGGCGGATCTCTGAGTTCGAGGCCAGCCCGGTCTCCAGAGCGAGTGCTAGGATAGGCTCCAAAGCTACACAGAGAAACCCTGTCATGAAAAACCAAAAAAAGAAAAAAGAAAATGGTTTCTCTCGGAATTTCATTTCTCGATTATTTTTGATAAAGTATAAAACATAACTGATTTTGAATATTGTTATTATCCCCTGGCCCTTGCCAATCTTTTGCATCCAAGAGTTTCCATACAGGCCATCATTATTTCCTTGCTAGGCAGAGTATTGTCACTAATACATTCTTGCCCTGTCTGCTGGCTAGGAACTACATTCCATGAGCTTGTCTGATTTTGTTTTCAAAGCTTCTGGGTTTTTTTTCCCCCACAATGCATGATACTTGTGGTGTCATCTGAAGGAAGCCCATCTCTC